ATGGTTTCGAACCGCTAGGTTGGTGGGAGCTGGGACAACGATCGGGGCTCACTCCATCGCGTGGATACGATCTTACGACTGCAGGTTTTCTGACCTTGCAGCACAGAGGCTTCTGTGGTTTAACCTGCAGCACCACAAGTCCATTTTTTAAAACCTTTTACCCCCTCCCCAAAAATTTTATATACGCCGACATTTCCCCCTTGATTTGAAAGGAAGGAATTCAAAATCTTATTGAATCTAGTTTGTGTACCAAACTAGCAGGACGCACCAAATTTAATAAAGATGTGCACCATTTTTGCTGGAACACATTGCACACCAGCCATGGGGTGGTACAGGGAGTAGTAAGGCGTCCAATGGGCCTAGTATTAAATTTTTGCTAGCTCACAGAGGATTATATCATCAATGGCTGCCAGAGTGGTGCTAGAAATGTCGCGCTTGCTAGAGACAGCCAAGGTAGAGTTGGGGTGTGTGTGCTTTTCCTACCACTTTAATCATTCTGTGTGTGGTGTGCAAAAAGGAACAAACCAAGCTAAAAAGGTCACGTCACCCACTCCGGTGCCACAAAGGACCAGAGCACTATTTTTTTTATCATCATCAATGGAAAATTCAGCAGTGGCCAGAGGATTGGATAAGATCAGTCTACAGTACATCCCAAGTCCAAAGAAGGACAGTGCCAAAGAATGCTCCAACTACTGTACAATTGCACTCATTTCACATGCTAGCAAGGTTATGCTCAAAATCTTACAAGGTAGGTTTCAGCAGTATGTGGGCCGAGAACTCCCAGAAGTACAAGCTGGATTTCGAAGGGGCAGAGGAACTAGAGACCAGATTGCTAACATGCACTGGATTATGGAGAAAGCCAGAGAGTTCCAGAAAAACATCTACTTCTGCTTCATTGACTACGCAAAAGCCATTGACTGTGTGGACCACAGCAAACTATGGCAAGTTCTTAAAGAAATGGGAGTGCTTGACCACCTTATCTATCTCCTGAGAAATCTATATGTGGGACAGGAAGCAACAGTTAGAACTGGATATGGAACCACTGATTGGTTCAAAATTGGGAAAGGAGTATGAGTGACAGATTTTACCTTCTTGGTACAACATTTATAAAGCTTATTAAGTATCTTGAAATCCTGGACTTGTTTCCTCCAAAGTAAACCACCTTCAGAAAAGCAACTATCTTTAGGAGTGCAGACTTTTATTATACATTTTATACAGGGTCCACATAGTCAAAGCTATGGTTTTTCCTGTAGCGATGTATGGAAATGAGAGTTGGACCATAAAGAAGGCTGACCGCCGAAGAACTGATGCTTGTGAATTGTGGTGCTGGGGAAGACTCTTGAGAGTCCCCTCGACTGCAAGGAGAACAAACCTATCAATTTTGAAGGAAATCAACCCTGAGTGCCCACTGGATGGACAGATCCTGAAGCAGAGGCTCTGATACTTTGGCCATCTCATGAGAAGAGAAGACTCCCCGGAAAAGACCCTGACGTTGGGAAAGTGTGAAGGCAAGAGAAGAAGGGGATGTAAGAGGACGAGATGGTTGGACAGTGTCCTTGAAGCTACCAACATGAATTTGACCAAACTCCAGGAGGCATGGAAGACAGGAGGGCCTGGCGTGCTCTGGTCCATGAGGTCACAAAGAGTCAGACACGACTAAATGACTAAACAACAACAACATTTATAAAACTTATTAAGTATCTTGAAATCCTGGACTTGTTTCCTCCAAAGTAAACCATCCTCAGAAAAGCAACTATCTACAGGAGTGCAGGCTTTTATTATACATTTTATATAGTCTCTCTCACACACACACAAACCCTCCCTCCCTCAATTTTCAACTATCAGTTGCTTCAGTTCAGTATGTCCATTTCCTCTCATTACATTTAAACAAACTTGATGAAGCCACCCGTACCTCTCTCACACCTTCCTTACCACCTTAATTGAAGCTTTCCCTCCTCCTTGAATCAGTTCCTTCTTTCAGTTTTGAGTCAGTTTCTCACACATACATATGCACAAACACACCTTCCCTTCCTCCCTCAATTTTCTACATACATTTAAACAAGGTGATGAATCCACCCATCCCTCTCTCGCACCTTCCTTCTAGCCTCAATTGAAGCTTTTTCTCCTCTTTGCATCAGTTCCTTTTTTCAGGTTTGAGTCAGTCTCTCTCACACACATTCACACACACACACCCTCCCCCTCTCTATTTTCTACATACATTTAAACAAGCTGATGAAGCCACCCGTTCCTCTCTCACACCTTCCTTTCTGCCTTAATTGGAGCGTTCCCTCCTCCTGCTTGCAGTCACCTCTGGTGGAAGTAGTCATTCACAAGCCAGATTGACTGCCCGGGGCTGTTCTACAGCTGTAAACAATGAAGCCATCTCTAAAAGAACGGATTTACAAGTGCTGCAACCAAGGAAGGTAGCAGGGATGAGTGGCTTACAGTTTGAGGTTACCCCCCACCCCCTGCAGCTCATTACCCCCAGGATTTAAATTTTTACCCCATTTGGGGTAATTTACCCCTGTTCCTCGATCACTGTTCTAGTCAGTGTTCCATTGTTAAATGTGTTCCACTGCTTCAAAATTTAATATATTTGAACATCTTTAGGCTAGAAATTGTTGGAGCTTATGGATAAAGAAGGCTTGCTATGCTAATATTTATTTATTTCTGCTTGGCAATATGGAAGCTCCCTTTCCAAACCCTGTGGCACAGGATGTACAAATATGCTTATCATCATAATTTGAAATAAATGCCATTGGCTTCACTCATCTTTTCTATACTGTATATCTAAATGACAGTCTTCTGCTCTGCTCTGTCTGTCTTATGCTCCTTCAGCATGTTGAAATTAACCCTATTGTTCCCTACACTAACACAAAGATGTCAGTAAGGGTTCTTTCTTAAGCATTCAAGCTGGGGTCAGGGGGCTACCATTATGTTATTTTACTTCTTCTGCATCAGACATTAGACAAGGAAAACTTGATATGTTTGTAGCTTCATGCCAAGTAGCAAGCAAATATTTCATTGGCCCCTGATTAGCTAGAATAAGAAGAAGCTGATCTTCCTAAAATATATGACATGAAGGAAGATTTAGTTGTGACCTCCTTATGACAGAGGGATTGGTCACACTGCTGATTTGCATTGTTTCAGTGCCATTTTTATATAGATGTAAAGTCATGTGGTATTTAAATCAGTATGCATATCTACTTTGATTTAAATTAATTCAATGTATTTCTGGTGATTACAATCAGTTTGGAAATCTACATTTGAATGACAGTTCATCTTCTTGTGCCTCGACAGCCCCTTCCTCACTTTCCCTGCCTTGCTTATGCTTCCCCCTTGCCCCGCACCCGGATCACAGCCCTTCCCATCCCCTTCCCCATCAGTGGCCCACCTGCACACTCCCTGGCTGTCTGCAGCCTCTGCACCACTTTGGCCCAGATGGCAAAGTTGCCCTGAGTGTGGGTCGGTCAGGCTTGCCTGCCTTTGGCTCTCCCTCCAATGCCTGCCTTCAAGGAACATCAGCTCTGAAATTGGGGGCCTGGGGATGCAGCTTAAGCTCAGGCAGCTTTTGAGGCCTTGTCTGGTGCCCGCCTGGCTTTGTGCTGGCTGCCTAATTTTTAAATGTTTTTTCCCAAGGTTGATATTGATAGCCTGACACAACAATGGAAATTTATGAACTAGGGGAAAACACTCTCTTCTCCTTGGCAAAGTGAAACTGATCAGAGATATTTGCAATATGGGGAGCTTCTTCACTTTGTGAGGGAGGAGCAGGGAGTGCTTTCTACTGGCTTGTAAATGTCCACTGTCATGTTAGACTATCAATATCCCCATTGGGAAATATATATATAGTGTGTGTATATATATACACACTGTATATACAGTATATACAGTCTACTGGCTTGTAAATGTCCACTGTCATGTTAGACTATCAATATCCCCATTGGGAAAAAATATATATTAAAAAAGGCAGCTAGTGCAAGGCAACAGATATAATTTATACTGAGTAAGGCATTCACACATGCCAAACCAATGAAAAATAAATGGATTTTAGATCAGTGTTAAAATAAACAACCCTCTAGTAGGCCAGTAAAACACCTTACTTCCAATTTAAAAAAACACGATTCTGTTTCATTGTGTAGCCAGAATGTTTTAAATCGCTTTTATTTAAGAAAAATCTGATTCAGCAGATTTTTCTGCTGCCAGATTTTTCTGGCAATTTTCAAATTGCCAGAAGGGCCAAGCGCAGAGTGGGAGGAAGTTCTGTTTCACCAAAACCTCTGCGAGAAAGAAGTGGATAACTGTGCAAGAGAGGTGAGCAGAACTATAACAACAACAACAACAACAATAAAGAAAAACTTCAATGTTTTGTATACAACAACAGCAACAACAACAACAACAAAGAAAAACTTCAATGTTTTGTACTGCCAGAAGAAACTCTGAACATAACCAATGTTTTCTGTAAAAAAAAATTCCAAGAGAAAATATGCATGATCATCTTGCATTCCACAGCAATATTTTCTATATATATTTCTCAAAAGTTTGGCCTTTGTAGAAAAACAACTGTCTTTTGGAACTGTCCCTTTAATAGCTCTCCTAATAGAACTGTATCATATTTTCCCTATAATATCTCTGCAGGTTCAGATCAGTGAAATCCTTTAGATGTCTAAGAGTCATATCAGACACTATAGACAGCACTCCACTAGAAGATGATGGCAATGTCATGGAGCTTCATGCCTGAGTCATCATTCTTGCAAATGAAGCTTGTGTTTACCTCCTAGCAACCAATCACAAAACAAAGGGAAGCTAACTTCCAAGCCAGGAAGACGAGAAAGCCCATGCTCTCATAAACAGTCATCTTTTATGCACTCAAGGAATTCCTGAGTCTAACAACATGCTCTTTACCCCCTTCCATTTTTGTATGTTGTAAAATAAGCAAGTCCCTTGCAATACCTCCGACCCCCTCCTCTCTTCCCTGCTTCTTGTGCGGCTGCTCTTACCTGTGTGTTCTGGATCTGAATGGCCCCCTGGGGAATTGCTTGGGTTACCACCTGGCCCTGAGATGTTACCATAGTTACAGGCTGGTAAAGGGCTCCACCTGGCAAAAAGACAGAATTTTACAGCAGTGTTTTAGGAAAAAAGCTGAAATTCACTGGCAGCAAAAGTTAGTAATGATAGTATGTTTCAACCAGTCACATGCGTCTGAATTCAAGGGCTGTGGGGAAAGCAGGGACTGGAAGGGCGCTACATCTTCAACTGTGGCTAAAAGGTTTCAATGTGCAGCCCAGTGGTCTTACAAAAAAGGACCAACCAGGAAATGCCGGCACAGAATCTATGTAATCTGTAGAATGTAAACTTTATTTCTGGAGAGGTATGTGTACAAGCAACAGCAAGGGAACAAGGAGACGAGTAGCAGGATGCATGCTTTGCACACAGAAGGTCCCAAATCCCATCCCTGTCATCACCAGGTAGGTTTGGGGAAGAATCCTGGCCAAACATGATTTGGCCAGGACAATGCTGGCAAGAGTCCAGCCTGCAGCCAAACATTGCCGATAACCTGCTATTAGAACAGAGAGGTCTTTAAGTGCTGATTGTTTGTGAGTGTCCCAGCAGAAGCTTCCCTCACACTCTAGTAGCTTGCTTTGTTTTGTCACTGGTGCTTAGGACATAAACACACTCTTTGTTTGCAAATTTAAATTCTCTGAGTTCTTAGACACAAAGACTGCCTAATAATGTCTCTTGCACACAAACATAATTCCAATTCCACTGATAGTTTATCTGTAATGTACCATTTGATCCTGAGAAGAAAGAAACTGTCTTTGATCCTTCCTTCTTTATCCAGGACTCAAAAACATTTTTTTTTGGGGGGGGGGAGGTGAGACAGAGGGAGACAACCTTCAAAGACTGAGACAACAGAGTGACAACAGGCCCAATGTTGTTGGTTCTTAGCAGCACATTTAGAAATGTCTCATAAATGAATGGGTCCAATTCTTGTTCGGTGGTAAGAATAGAAGATTTAGCCTTGTTGGGCAAAAGGACTGGATATTTAGTTGCATCAATAAACCAACTCTGTTAGGGTAAGATGGCTTGTGTTTGATTCTTATATACACGGTAGCCATATTAAAGCAGTCCGGCTGCACATGCAATGATTAAAACTGGGCTGGGAATAAGGACGCACATGCAAACATTGCCCATGACTTCCCTACATGTGTGGCTCCCACAGAGGCCTTCATGGGATCAACAAAAAGCTCTGCCGGCTTTGTTAAGTTGAGGTCACATAGAAGCTTCCCTAGGACAGAGGCCTCAAGTCGTCTATCAGGCTGTGCAGCTGAAGGTCTGTTTTTAGAACCATCAAATAAACCTTTGCAGCTAAACTACTAGATGTGTGAATAATACTTGCAAAATTATTCATTCTCATAGGCTGAGATCTTGTTCAAGTTGGCATAGCTTAAGCTTCTGCCTGCAGAAAGGTGCCAGGCTTTACGCCCAGGCAGCCAGCACAGCACAATCAATCATGTGCTTCACACTACAGTTATGCTGTTGACATCATGGTGGAGGAATAGACTGCAGGCATCATGACTGCGCAGTTCACATTGTGGTTCCACAACGGATTTTGTGTGGTTCATGTCAAACTGCAGAAGTGCTTTGTGGATATTACTTCTGTTCTGACATGAATGCATGTACTGCTGCCACACATTCCCATTCTGCACAGTAAGATTTCAGCCAATGAGAAGGGCTATTGAGACATGTTGAGGCTGCCGGTCAAGAAATCACTAGCATCTACAAGAACAAGACAAGGAGCATATTTTTCAATGTTTTTGTTTCAAATGCCCTCCACAGGATTTCTTCCATTTTTGAGGGAAAATATGCTTGGCCAGACATACGTGTGAGCTGTCTTGTTTTTAAACGTCCATGCGGCAAGGCACACATATGGTGATTTTATAAAGTTTTGGAATTTTGCATGATCTGTGTAAAAATTGTTCTTCAAACGTTTGAGAAATCTCATCAAGACTTTGAGAAAATATTTTGTCATCTTACAGGCAAAGGATTTCTTCCTCCATATGATCATTAATTCTATGATCATACTGCAATTTAACAGACAACAGCATTCCATTTGTATGACATGTCCACTGCATTCCTTCCTCCCTCCCTGACTCCCTCCCTCCCTCTCTGACTTTCTCTTTCTGGTCTTATATATATATTTCTTTGTTTTGTTTGGAAAAAAGTACTCTATAAGCTTTAAAATATTAACAGTTCACAGATGAAGATAGACATAACAGTTAAAAGATAAATACAGATATAGCATCTTAAGACTACAAGCCTTTGTGCGAACACACACTGTTTCTGGAGCAAAAACTGCATTCATCTCAGTGAAAATTATTTTTCTGTAGACATGGATTGCAGATAGCAATGGGAGAAGTGATTTGAACACATTCACTGCATTCCGCGATGTTTGCTTTCTTTTTTTATGACTGGTCATTGAGAGGTAAACACAGACTTAATTTGCAAGTCTGGTTACTCAGACATGGAGCTCTGTTGGAATTGCATGCTTGCAGGAAAAACATAATAGAAGGAAGTGTACATTTCCTTTCACCATGTAATTTAACCCTGATTATCTTTTTGGCTACAATGTGGTATGACCAAAAAAGAAAGCCCCTTAACTTTTAGATGAGTAAGGCAGGGAGGTGGCTGGCAAACCAGAAGAATACATATGCTGCAAGAATGGGATGGCATAGCATGACAAAACTGAGGGGGAAATTTCCACAGTATCTAAAAAGGAAGGAGAAGTTCAGCCCTACTGAGATTATGTTAATGTTGTGGTGTGTGTGTATGTGCACGTGTACACAGGGCCTCTGTGGGTACAGAGCACACACACACTGTCTCTATGTACAATTTGTACTTTACATTTCTTTAGGGGATTGACATATGGTGGCTGGGGGGGGGCTTGGAACCACTGGAAATTATTTTGCTTCCCCTGTCCACAGGTCAATTTTATCAAATTCCAGAGCTGAGGAAGTGTCCAGTCCCCTGGGGCATGAACTGTTCTGCTGCAGTGGTGGGGTGCTGAGAAGCTGCTATTTTATTTCCCCCACCAGGCCCCAAAACTCATGATGCAGTTTGCTCATCTTGGAGAAATCAATATGGCACCCAGTACATGGTCAGATGAGAAGTTAACTAGGCATTAGAGGTGGTGGTAGCTCCGGCAAGGTGCTCAAGGAATATAGATGTAATGCCAACCTAACCAGAACTGCCACTGGTACGTATATCAATTCAGAGGAGTTTCTTGCTCACTTCATTTCACATAACATTGAACTCATAGATTCCATGGGGACATGACTGCAAGAAGCTCACTGATAATATCTCAATGCCTGCTTGCAGGCAAGCCGAAGCGAGTACTGTATTTCATAGATTGCTTTCTACACAGAGTGACCGTAGAAAGGAAGCTATTTTAAATGTCTTCCTGACTCCACCAAGCTTCTTTCTGCATGCGTGTTCTCACACTGAGAGCTCACCAGAGCGGTGGAGAGGCTTGTGTGATTTTCTTCCCACTCCATAACAAGATACTAGCCAGTAAATTTAAATGGAGATTTTAAAAAAAAAATTAAAATGCACATTCCCATAGCAAACTGTGTACATGTGTACTGAGTTGGGTAACTAGAATATGAAAGAGATGAGAAGTTGTGTATGTATGGGTGAGTAGTGAGGGTGGGTGATGGTGGTGTTCAAGCTGGGAAAATCAATCACTTTCTCTCACACACACATCACTGTAAAATTTCACAAGTTTCTACCCTGAATTACGCATCATTCAAAGCTAATTATCTAAGGGAATTAAAAATACCAAGCATGCAGAAGACGCAACTAACATGGTCAATGACGTATGCTCCACGCCTCCCACCTGACACAACTTGTGAGTTGACTGTTGTCATGGAGATATTCCCTTGCTGCAGGGCTGAGGCAGGTACCACGATTCCTTGGGGATTGCTGGATACTGCAGTCATGGAGTTTGGAGAATTCTGCAGCATATCCTAGAAAGAGAGAGAGAAGAATAGAGCGGAGAAGGAAGTTAGTGCATTGCCCATCACAGCTTTCCTTCCCTGCAAGGAAATTCTGAAAAATACCTCACAAAATCCTGCAGGTGAGAATCCATCCCCTCCCACGAGCAGCATGATGTATATCTGTGTGTATGTACAATTATTTACATATAATTTTATTAATATATAATTTATTTATAATTCAGTGGTACATTTCTGGCTGGGACTAACAACTGGATTTACCCCTAGGTATATATCAGCTGTATGCATGCAGGTTATGTTTTTCTCCTGACTTACCTCTAATGAGTCAGTTTACTGTAGCAAACAGAGCATCAAACTAGGACTCAGGAGATCTGGGCTTGACCCCGGAAACCCTCTGGGGAGGTGGTAGCAATGGTAAAATCACCCATTAAACATTTCACGTACTTTGAAAATCCTATTAGGGTCGCCATAAGTCAAATGTGACTCGATGGCACATAATAACTTGTTCTTAGGCATGATCAAAAACACATCTAATGAACTCAAGGTAGCATATACAGTATTGGAATCTTCCTCCTTGCTCTATTGTCACGAACATCCCATGAAGAAGGTGAGGCTAAGAGTCAGCACTCTAACTGCTACACCAGTTCTACTTGTGAGATGACATCCCTTATCTCCTTTTGAAGTTGAGTGTTGAAACTGCGCAGGTAGTTCATGATTTGAGGCGTGCTATAAGTACTATGATGAGCATTATGAGCCTGGCATTATGAAACATAAAAGCTCCTGCAGACTACTATTGTATAGACTACAATGTTCTCTACATGGGACGGCCCTTGAAAATAGTTCATAACCTTGGTGGCCCACAGCATTTGTTTTATCATTTTAAAGAATATTATAGCTGTTTCCCCCTTCTTTTAAATTTTACAGTGACCCAAACATTCCATTATTAATCACTGAGAAGTATTTTATCGGTCATGTAAACTTTTGGTAAACAATCAATTAAGAACCAACTCAGAGTCATTGCTTGGTCGAAAGGCGGGAGTTAAATCAATGGTGAATACCTGTGGCAGGCCTTGAGGACAGATTCTCATCCTTTGTACCTACTCTGGGCTGCATGAGGTCTAGAAATAGCAGGAAATGACACACACCCCAAGGCACCCCAAACAAAACAAATCCAGAAATGCTCATGATGGGTCACTTTCAGATTTGTTTTTGAGGGGTTTAGGGAGTATCTGGGCTCTGCCTCAGTGGAAAAGGTGCCAATCCTGGAAGCCTCCCAAAGCAGAATGCAATTGTTGTTATGGGGAAAAAAATTCTGTTTGAAGGCAAGGGGATCCGATAGGGCTTGGGGCTGTAGCTGCAGGCCACCCTTTGCCTTCTCTTAACATAAACACTTGTTTGAGAAAAAGAAAGAAATGGAGGAAGAAAGAAGATTGCTTTCTGGAGTTTGAATAACAGTAAATCCTGACTCCTGAAGGGTTGACTTTGTGTGGTTTGTTATCAGTCAGGCATTCTGTTCTTTGAAGGTGCCAGAGGATTGGAAGAAGGCTAATGATGTCCTTATCTTCAAAAAGGGCAAAAAGGGAAGTACAAGCCAGTCAGCCCGACAGCAATCTCAGGGGAAACTCTGGAACAGATTATTAAGTGGTCACTATGCAAGTGCAGTACTTAGAAAACAAGGCAGATCTAGAAGCCAACATGAATTTGTCAAAAACAAATTCTGCCAGACTAATCTGATCTCATTTTTTTCATTGGGTAACCTCCCTGATAGACAGAGGGACTGCTGTAGACGTAGTATATCTTGACTTCACAAAAGCTTTAGACAAACTGCCCCACAATATTCTTACTAGCAAGCTAACTAGGTGTGGGCTGGACAGAACAACTGTCAGATAGATACAGTTGGCTACAAAACCATAGTCAGAAGGTGATGATTAATGACTCCTTCTTAGACTGGGAGGAGGTAACAAGTGGGGTACCCCAAGGCTCAGTACTGGGCCTAGTGCTCTTCACCATTTTTACTGATGACCTGGATCATGGGGTGCAGGGAATGTTAATCAAATTTGCAGATGACACAAAATTGGGTGGACTAGCTAATAACCTGGAAGACAGAAACAAAATTCGAAATGATCTAGATAGGCTTGAGCACTGGGCTGAAAACAACAGAAAGAAATTGAACAGGGATAAGTGGAAAGTACTGCACCCTGGAAAAAGAAACCAAACACACAGTGGCTCAGCAATACTGCAACTGAGAAGGATCTTGTAATCATCATAGATTATAAACTGAATATGAGCCAACAGTGTGATGGAGCTACAAAAAAGACAAATGCTATTTTAGGTTGCATTAACAGAAGTATAGTCTCCAAATAACCTTCAAACCCGCAAAGCACTTGTTCTCCTCTATTCGGTACTGGTTAGGCCTCACCTTGAGTATTGTGTCCAGTTCTGGACACCACACTTCAAGAAGGACACTGACAAATTGCAACAAGTTCAGAGGAGGTCGACAAGGATGATCAGGGGGCTGGAAACAAAGCCCTATGAGGAAAGACTGAAAGAACTGGGCATGTTTAGCTTGAGAAAAGACGACTGAGGGGAAATTTGAAAGCATTTCAAATTTCAGAGGAGGGGCAGGATCTGTTCTTGAACATCCCAGAGTGCAGGGCACGCAACAGTAGACTCAAGTTACAGGAAGCCACATTTCAGTTCAATATTAGGAAAAACGTCCCAACTGTTAGAGCAGTACGACAGTGGAACAAATTACCATGAGAGATAGTGAGTGCTCCAGCACTGGAGGCATTCAAGAGAAATTTAGACAACAACCTGGCAGATCTCCTCTGATTTGTATTCCTGCACTGAGCAGGGGTTTGGACTCAATGGCCTTATAGGCCCATTCCAACTTCATGATTCTATGAACTCCTTTCCAGCATTTCCGCTGCGCACCCACAATATGGCATGGGTGACTCAGCCTTAGTACGTGGTACGAACCATCTGCTTCTTTTGACTGCCACCGGCCTTGCAGGCACCACATGCCTCTTTCTGAGACAAGCTAGCTAAATATACAGTGAGAAATTCTCTTCCCCAAGCTGGCAGTACTATCAGCGTACAGTTTGCTGTGTTGGGAAAGCCCCAAAGCAAATGATGCAGAACAGAATTATTCAATTATTAAAGAAGACATTCTTGTCATTGTTTGGGATAAGAGGTCAGCATTCAATTAACACTTTTTTGTAGCTGATTAAATATTTGTCTCATCTGAGTAAACCCATACGGCACGACATTACTTTCTTGACACCCTTGCTCAGTACATAGTAAACAACCTACCCGTGCCCAGAAAAATTCAAGAGCCTGAACAAACAACCCAACTCAAACACAATTTGGATTGATTTTTAATTTATTTTCCCCTTTATAAGGCCCATGCATTTGTTATAGAGATGACTTCCTGAGCCAAACTTCTTCTTAAACCCTGAAAATATCGTTTTGGAGTTGCTGAATTTGAGCTCCCAGCTGTGCTGCTTGGTTGTGTCTTACAAGTTACAGTTCTGAGCCACTTGTTGGCCTGATCTAAACCTTCCGCTTTGTACAGATTAAAATAGGGATGTACTGCACTTGTAATTCTGACATTCTGTTCAGGGCTTCATGAGAGTATTGTGGTGGCTTCTATACAGCAGGTGGGCAGATGACAGGTTTGTGGGATTTATTTACTAGACCCCTGCGAATCATGAATCATGAGCCAGGTGCAAAATAGTAGCTTAGGTGGGCAGACACACACAAAGGTGTATTGGGTCTGGATTTAGTGATTGCAAGCAAGCTGGATAGCTCAGAGGTTTAGGTATTGGGCTGCAGAGTCAGAGGCTTGAAGTTCAATTGATAGGGGCTGAACTCATTGATCCATAGGGTCCCTTCCAGCTCTGCAATTCTAAGATGATGGTGATGATGATTAAAAAAAAACAGGACACTGGCATTATATAAAAGATGCAAGTTTTAACAAAAAAACTTAAGTATCAGTTACATATCAGTGTAATATGTATGTTGTTCCTAATATTGCCATTTATTTGCAGCTCTGATGGTGTTATTTCAGAGACCTCCAGCTGATTATAATATTTTATAAAACCCCACGGCATTGTTCCCAATGTCCAATGACTATGGGGACAACTGTAATGTTTTTAATCCACAAGTGACTTATTTTTACTGCCAAGTCTTTGTATTTTGTTAATTTTTCCAGTTCTTTGACTCTGGCATCCCCTGGAATTCCAATGTAAATTACCCAGACATTTCTTCATTCTATTACTGCTATGTCTGGTGTACTAAAGGTGTCTGTCTGTTTGAATCTGAAAGTCCCACAATATTTTAATTTGGTTGTTTTCTGATATATTCTCTACTTGATTTTCCCATGGAATCTTGGACTTTGGAAGATTTTATATATATATGTACATAATGATCAGTGAATTAACTTTGCCACTCTATCATGTCTAGCTTGGTATTTCAACAATCTTTGAACATTCACAAAAGAGGTGTGACACAAATTCATATTTTCCTTGGCATAGTTGATATTTGTTGTTTATACGAATTCCTTGAATGTTAGCTTCCATGGTATTTATTTGGAGTGATTGTTCTTGTGCAGCAAAAATCAAACCTTAGGTTTCTTTGTTGATGATTGCCAGTTTTAGCCATGCCCAGGTTAAATTATAGAAAGAGAAGGAGAAGAAGAAAAAGAAGATTTATTCTTTCTATATACAAATCCTGATTTTCCTACCAGATTTCTTTTTCAGCAGTCTCATTTGGGGATGGGAGGAATAGCAATTTTAGTCCTTACTCTTATTAGACCACTCTTATATTACAGGGTCTTTTGCCAATCAACCAGTGATCCATCAATAGATCTCAATCTACCTTCCGTTCCACTGTGTCCTGTAGTATAATACTGTATGTGATAAAGAACTACCTACACTATTAAGTAATTAAATGATCTGATTTGCATATGCTGATTTACTTGTATACAGACATACATTGGGGGGCAGGGAAAT